CTTCTCATCTTCATTGGCTTGGATATTTTCGGATCAAATGCTCAATTTTTGCCAGAAGATGAAGGTTCGTATCACCTTTTTTTTTAATTTACATTGCAATGAAATTTCTTCAATTTTACTTAAATTTCTAACAACACTAATTCTATGCTTCCTTCTTGATTAAAAAAAACTTCACTGAAAGAAAGTTATCCTTTTTCAACTATTTTGTTATTAAAAAAAAAAAATTGTATTTTTGCTGCGGATATTGGTCGTCAATAAAATTATTGAATGGTCGTCATGAACCATGGATTATTTTTTAAGAGTTAAACAATAAAATTATCATAAGATCGAGAAAATTATCTTTATATTGTAGGTCGATTTGTAAATGCTTAACTTATTTAAAGATTTGTTAATTTTAATATATCATATAATTTACACATTTAGATATTATATATATTTTTTTAAAAATAAGGAATTTGATTAGTAACACAAAATTAAAAAACGATAATTAATATCAAAATAAATAGAAGTGATAATAAGTAGTAGTACTAGTAGTAAGAGACTCCAATACAAAAGAAAGAGAAAAAAAAAAAAAAAAACTAAAAGTAATGCTTTTGATGATTAAAACAGTAAGCTCTGTACACGTAGTTACCAATCAGAGCCCGTGTGTTATTAATAATTGTATTTCAATACATGTGCAAGTTGGGTCAAAGTGTTTTCTTTAAAAGATTGATAGAAATGACTTGAGACAGAGATATTTTAGAGAATAGTATTTACCACTCATTCTTTATTCATTAATTAGACTTTCCTCATTTATTATATCAAAGTTTTTACTTTAAATCTCAACCGACAAAATGTTTGATCATTTTTGCACAGTTCAAACACTGCGAACGATTTTTAGAAAGCTTCAAAACCAAACAGTGAACATCGAAAGAACTTCTTGTACGGACGAAAACTGGAACTTTGTTGCCGGTTCATCGCCCAACGCTGTAACCAGTAACATCACCTGCGACTGTACTTTCAACGCCAGCTCAGTCTGTCGTGTCACAAACATGTATGTAAAAGACAGAAACGATCATCTATGTAACTTTCATAACAAGAAATATAGTTAGGGTTCTGAAATTTCTTTCTTTTTTGTTTTCATCAATAGACAGCTTAGAGGTTTCAATTTGCGAGGAATTATCCCGCCTGAATTCGGGAACCTCACGCGTCTTACAGAGATGTACGAACCTTTTTTCATCCAAGGATCTTTGTTTCTTCATTGTCTATCAATGGATCATAGCAAAATGTCTGAGCTTGATGCTTAAGCAATCTTTGTTTGTGGTTTTTTCTTACAGAGATCTTATGCTGAACTTTCTCAGTGGGACAATACCTACGACATTGTCCCAAATTCCGCTAGAAATCTTGTACCCATTCTCTGCAATACATATACTTTTCTTTTTCTTGTTATGTTAATAAAGTTGTACTAATTCTTGCGTTTTCTGCAACTACCAGGGCAGTAACCGGAAACCGTCTCTCTGGACCATTTCCTCCTCAACTCGGAGAGATTACTACACTTACTGATGTGTAATGTTACATATCTAATCTTCTTTTCTTCAAACCAGAATGGACGAGATTCTAATATGTAAGTAACAAATTGCAGGGTTATGGAAACTAATTTATTCACAGGACAACTTCCTTCAAACCTAGGGAACTTAAGAAGCTTGAAAAGATTGTAAGATCCTTTATGATATACTTTGTTTTTTCTTATATATTGTTATTGTAGTTTTACTTAGTGATTTGGTTTGTTTATGATTACAGGTTAATCTCTTCAAACAACATCACGGGTCGGATCCCTGAGTCCTTAAGCAATCTCAAGAATTTGACTGATTTGTAAGCAAACTGTGAACGATTTAATTCTTTGGAATGATTCTAAAAGCTTCATTTGTTTCTTGCAGTCGGATTGATGGAAACTCTCTTACTGGGAAGATACCTGATTTTATTGGAAACTGGACTCGCCTCGTTAGGCTGTGAGCTTACTTCTTCTCAAGAAAAAAAAAAAAAAGAAAACTGTGAAAGTTGTAGAAAGACTGAATTGTTGTTAATTTGCAGTGACCTCCAAGGCACATCAATGGAAGGTCCAATTCCAGCTTCGATATCAAACTTGAAAAACCTGACTCAATTGTAAGCAAAGAGTAGTTATCAGTAACATTTTTTGCCAAACTTTTGAGCTTAAGAAATCTCTCTTTTTTATCAGGAGGGTAACAGATTTGCGTGGACCAACCTCTCCTTTTCCAGACTTGCAAAATATGACAAATATGGAACGATTGTAAGATTTTAACTTTGACTTAAAGTTAAAGAAACTCTGTTTCATCAAACAACATTTGAATATCTTCTTTGCGTAATAACTTCCATCAGGGTACTAAGAAATTGTTTGATAAGGGAACCTATACCGGAATACATCGGTACTTCCATGAGTATGCTGAAGTTACTGTAAGTCAAATTCTCTTGCTAGTTCTTACTGCTTAAAGGCTAAATTTTGATCAAGTTCTCACATGTATATATGTGTGTGCAGAGATTTAAGCTCAAACATGTTAAATGGTACAATTCCAGACACATTTCGGAGTCTGACGGCATTCAATTTTATGTAAGTTTTATTGATAACTTATCAATATAGATGCTATTAACCGTGACTTGAAGACTGATTCTTTTCTTGCTGCTTTAGGTATCTTAATAATAACTCGTTGACTGGTCCAGTTCCTCAGTTCATCATCAACAGTAAAGAAAACATGTAAGCAAATTACTAACTAACTACCTTGATGAGGTTGAAAATTTATACATCGAGGTCATTAATTTTCTTGATCTGTTTTCAGTGATTTATCTGACAACAATTTCACTCAGCCACCTACTTTAAGCTGTAATCAGCTTGATGTGTAAGCATTCTTGTTATTTCATATCAGTGATGTTTCAACTGAACCTTGTCATGTTTTTCTAATCAGCTTTATTGGTTAAAACTTTCAGGAACTTGATCTCCAGCTACCCGTCAGTAACCGATAACTCGTGAGTCTTCTTTTTTCCCTCCTTTCAGTTCATAAAACCGGTAAAACCAAAGATACTTACAAAGAAACAATATCTACTTGTGTAGTGTTCAATGGTGCTTGAGAAAGGATCTTCCGTGTCCTGGAGATGCACACCGTAAGTGGAACATTCCAACTTACCCTCAAGATTAAAACTTTTATAGAAACAAAAAAAAAAAAATCCCTGAATACGTTTCTTGCAGATTCTTCCTTGTTCATCAACTGTGGAGGAAACCGACTCAAGGTTGATAAAGACGAGTATGCAGATGACTTAAATAAAAGAGGAGCATCAACATTCTCTTCTGTCTCTGAAAGATGGGGATACAGCAGTTCTGGAGCTTGGTTAGGCAATGACAGTGCCCCCTACTTGGCAACAGACACATTTAACTTGATCAATGAATCAACTCCAGAGTATTACAAAACGGCCCGTCTCGCTTCACAATCACTCAAGTACTATGGATTATGCATGAGAAGAGGAAGTTACAAAGTGCAGCTCCATTTTGCAGAGATAATGTTCTCGAACGACCAGACTTATAGTAGCTTAGGGCAACGAGTATTCGACATTTATGTTCAAGTGAGTTTTGCAGAACAAAGAAGAAAGTTTTTTCTTTTTCAAACACACAATTTCAGTTTTCCTATATCACTGTTAATTTTGTGCAGGGGATTTTGTTGGAGAGGGACTTTAACATAGCAGAGAGAGCAGGTGGAGTTGGTAAACCGTTCCTAAGACAAATTGATGATGTTCAAGTGAATGGAAGTACGCTGGAGATTCATTTGAAGTGGTTAGGGAAAGGCACAAACGTAATACCAACACGAGGTGTTTACGGGCCTCTCATATCCGCTATAACAATCACACCGAGTGAGTTTTCTTTCCAATCTTTCTCAACTGTTTAAAGTAATTTTGGAGTGAGTGAATGAATGAAATGTTCTTTCTCTGTTTTATTGCCTCTTGTTGTAGATTTCAAGGTTGATACCGGAAAACCATTGTCCAATAAAGCAGTTGCAGGCATTGTAATCGCAGCGTGTGCGGCTTTCGGGTTGCTGGTACTTGTAATCCTCTGGCTTACAGGTTACTTAGGTGGAAAAGAAGTGGATGAAAATGGTAAGAAAGCAAACATCATTCTATTGTTCAAGAAATGCTCTTTGTCATTTTCAAGATTTGATTGTTTCAAAATCTTACTTTTTGTTTATCAGAAGAGCTTCGGGGACTTGATTTGCAGACAGGATCGTTTACATTGAAACAAATCAAACGTGCGACTAACAACTTTGATCCAGAAAACAAGATTGGCGAAGGAGGATTTGGACCGGTTTATAAGGTGATGATTGCCTGGTCTTACATCTTCACAAGTTCTGTAAGATTGGATAATAAGTACTAATGGGTTTTGGTTATTAGGGTGTTCTCGCTGATGGAATGACCATCGCGGTGAAGCAGCTTTCATCAAAATCTAAGCAAGGAAACAGAGAATTTGTGACTGAGATCGGGATGATCTCAGCCTTGCAACACCCAAATCTTGTGAAGCTTTATGGTTGTTGCATTGAAGGGAAAGAGCTTTTGCTTGTGTATGAGTACTTAGAGAACAACAGTCTCGCTCGCGCACTCTTTGGTTAGTGTTTTTTATCCATCTGAGAAACATAGGTCAAAGTTCTTCATCTTTAAGCTAAAGTCTCGTGGGGGTTATTTAACAGGCACAGAGAAACAGAGACTCCACTTGGATTGGTCAACAAGGAACAAGATATGCTTAGGGATTGCCAAAGGATTGGCTTATCTACACGAGGAATCAAGGCTGAAGATTGTGCACAGAGACATAAAAGCGACAAATGTGCTTCTTGATCAGTCTCTAAATGCTAAGATCTCTGATTTTGGTCTAGCTAAACTCGACGAAGAAGAGAATACACATATCAGCACAAGAATTGCAGGAACAATGTGAGGGTTCATTACTTATCTTTCCTAAAATTCATAGAGAGTGGTTAACACTTACTGACTTTATATGTCATTGATGCAGAGGTTACATGGCTCCTGAGTATGCAATGAGAGGTTATTTAACAGACAAAGCAGATGTTTACAGCTTCGGTGTTGTCTGTTTAGAGATTGTTAGCGGAAAGAGCAACACAAATTACAGACCAAAAGAAGAGTTTATTTACCTTCTTGATTGGGCATATGTCTTGCAAGAACAAGGGAGTCTTCTAGAACTCATGGATCCAGATCTCGGTACAAGCTTTTCGAAGAAAGAAGCGATGAGGATGTTGAACATAGCTTTACTCTGTACGAACCCATCTCCGACATTGAGACCACCAATGTCATCTGTCGTAAGAATGTTGGAAGGAAAAATCAAAGTCCAACCACCACTGGTGAAACGTGAAGCTGATCCAAGTGGTTCAGCTGCAATGAGGTTTAAGGCCTTTGAGCTTTTGTCACAAGACAGCGAGTCACAGGTTTCGACCCATACAAGCAACAGAGAACACAAAAGCTCCTCATCGATGGACGGTCCTTGGGTTGATTCTTCCTTCTCTGAGCCTAGCAAAGATGTTAGCCTACAACAGCAAGAAGAAGGAAATTCATCATCTTCGTCGAGGAGACTGTTAGATGATCTTACCGATGTGGAGATTGAGTAATGAATAGTATATATTCTTTTATTCAATCTACAAACACAACAGTATTTACCAACATATCAATCAAATTTCCTTTTGTTTCTTGATTTAATCTACAACTTTCACAGTTGAATTGTTGCAAGACGAATTCTTTTCAGGTTTTGCTATTATGCTGTGAAATCTCTCTGTTGGATTGACGAGTTTGATTTACTATATACAATTTAGACTTATGATGAGAGTACACAAACCAAAAAACTTGCCCTTACTTATTTTCAGAACTCGAAAGCATTGTTGATCTGAATGGAGAAAGAAGGTCGAGCAACGTTTGGAAGAGGAATATCAGCTCTAACAACTATGCCAGTTCGTCCAATGTTCCCATTCCACTTGGACCGACCAAGCTGCGGTTTTAGAGAAAAACCGAAATCAGAGCCAATAACAAACGAAATGGGTTTCGGTTGGAGAAAAAAAGAAAGAAAGATTAGCTTACTGAAACAGATGCAAATGCTGAAGGATGAGCTGTGAATGCGCAGCCACATATCATATTGATGTGATCATTCAACGAGTGAATAACTTCGGTTTTAATCCCGGGATTGCTTCCACCAAATGTAGAGCACACGCTGTTTCCATGTTTGCAAGTTAAAAACAAAAAGAATTTTGATTGTAAAAAGAAAGGCAGGTTTTTAATTTACCTAAGTTGAATTGCAGGTTTCAACATGAGACCGGACCTACGCCAAGCCAAGGCTTGAGAAACACCCAATGCGAATGATTTTTCAGGCCAATTTACCATTGGTGTGATTCGTGTTCCCTGTTTACTCTGTTTCATCAAAGTTGAAAAACAGTTTTTCAAGCTCTTGTATATAGGAACTGTGACTATACTTGATCAATTATTAACCAACCTTGCAGGAGAAACTAAATCTCATATCGCCTGGATATTGACCTTGCGCTTGAAGAAGACCGCCACATAAAGGAACAAAGACACTTGTCGTCAATCCCTCACCAGATACATATGTTAATTGTCCATTTGGGAATTGCAAGTCTACAAATGACTGTTTCAAGTGCAGGAAAAAGACAAAGCTTCGAGCATTAGTTCACTATGTAAGAGTATAGAAAGGCAAACAAACGCACATAGAAAGATCTTAAAGTAAAGACACTTACGCAATCTAAAGGATTGAGGCAGAGCATTGACATCATAAGCCATCTTCGATGCTTTGACCACAAAGCTGGACACAGTGAATGCATACCTTTCTGAAAAGAGATTACCATATGAGTATTACCCGAGTTTTGAAACAATAAGCAAAAACTCGAGATGCGAAGACCAACATAAGTGTTGAAGCTTTGAGCATACCTTTCTATCATACCCGTACCAGAGTATGTGTTGCTTTGATAAATGAACAGGTAGAAGAAGAGTTGAACCGCGCAGAAATAGCAGAGGTCCGAGCTGGAGTAGAAAGAGAGATGAGCTATCATCTCTTGCAGGGGAACTTGAAGTAGAAGCTTCTACTCTCCAAAGATCTCCCCTGGCTGCTAACGAATGTTCCATACCACTTGTACTACTTTCATAACTTGATGATAGCTCAACCGTTCCCTACAAGGAGCAGAAACTGTAATCTGTAAACAAATTTCACTCTTGGCAGGAACTCCACTGAACTTGTAACACAACATCAATAGATTCTTCCAGATTCATATTTTGACAAAAGCCAGAGCTCAACTAAATCCTATTTTCACAAGATCTCAATAAACAAGCATCTAAATTCCAAAACTTTACATATGCTTATACTCAATCTCTAAGAAATCATCTACATTCCAATCCAATTTAGATATCTCTGCAGTTACATACAAAGTTAAGGCCATTTTGATCAGTAAGAAACAAAATAAAAACTTGAACAAGTACCTTTGGTCTCCTATGTAATCCAATAGTCCTTAAATCCAATTCTGTAACTTTCTCCTCAGACACAGTAACAGAGGAAGCAGTATCTGTCTTAGAAAGCCTTGAGTCCTCTTTTGTGTCAACATAAGCCTTATGGTATTGAACCAAATGAAGAAGAAGATCCATCTTGGCACGAGTAGAATCAAGTGAGGAAGCATCCGGGTCGAGGAAACCATCTTGTGCTTCTCGTCCGTACGGTTCACACTCGTCCGTACGGATCACCACTCGTCCGTACGATCACCTTCGGGCCGTCCGTACCATTTCAAGTCCACTCGGCCCATTGGGATCTCCAGCCTTCCTAAGCTTATCCAAAGCTTCACCAAGGTTCTAGAAGCCGCTAGACCCTTCCCCTTGGAGCCGTTACCTCGCAAAAGAAGAAGAAGACAAGAAACGCTTTATCCCTTTATGACGCGTCTTATCTCTTTGTGACCGTTGTACATATGGCATATCCTTGAGGATATTCCGTTTGTGTGTCCTTAAAAGGAACCTTTGTATTTACCAAATTGAGTAAGAAAGAGAAATAATCTTTCCCATCTCTAAAATCTCTCTACTCTCTCAATCTCTTCATCTCACCTTTCCGATCAAAGCTTTCATCTTTTCCGGTTGATTTCTTGTCCCATCGAAACCTAAAGCTCCATAATCTAACATGGTATCAGAGCCATAAGCTCCATATCCTTCATTCAACCCACCTCATTTACTTCCGCACCAAAACTCTCTCTTTTCTTTGATTTCGTTCGATGAGTTCATTCTATGATGAGATGAGTTCTCTACACTCGAAAATCATTCCGGTTATCCTCAAGGGAGGAAACTACTTGCTGTGGTCACGAACCACAAGATCTGCCTTGTGTAGTCGGGGACTTTGGAGTCATATCTTGAACGAAGAGGCGCCAAAGGAGACGACCACAAGAGATGGACAAGAAATTGTTCTTGTTGATGAGGGGAAATGGTTCCAAGAAGATCAATCGGTCTTGGTCCTCCTCCGAAACTCGCTTGAGTCCTCAATACTGTGGATGTCGGATTCACACACTCAAGTATTTTGTTAAGTGGGAAAGATTATTCTTGAGGGACAAAAATGAATGTATAAAAACTTGTGAATTGCTACGAAAATTGCTATATTATTTCTCTCTTGAGAGGAAGATCCCCTTTTACATGGCCATTGGCCTCTATATTTATACATAGAAAAACGACATTAAAATGAATAATTAAGTACAATTATTCCTTCTTAAATGCGTCCGTTTTGATTCTTCGACTTTAATGCTCAACGTTTGAATTTGAGTTGACTCTGATCTTCGTGGGCCTCGCCTTTTTTGGCCCAAGTTTCCTTGAACCGACTTACCCGTGTCTTCTACCCCGAACTCGTGTCCCAGTACATTCACTTCGGATTCTCGAAGTGGTGACAACCACTTCGAACGCTCCTTTGACTCATGGATCCAATGGGCTTCATCCTTTATGGGCCGTTACCTTGACTACGTGGCAATCTTTGGTTGGTCGCGGACTTCTGGTGCGGGATCCGACACCAACAATTAGCCCCCCAAGTTCTTCGAAGTGCTTTTCCAATTCGGAGGACTTTAAATGCTCAAGTGGCCAAAGATTGCGCTCGAGAATCTTTCTGATTTCCCGCCGGAAATCTCATCACCCCTTTAATTTCGGCACTAGCCATTTTTAACCAAATGACATCTGTCATCATTATGACCGCATATTGATTAATTACTATTAAAACGGGAAAAACCTTCCCACTTCCCACACAACTTCCGAGGCGGTTTCATCATTAGCTTGAGGTAACTTCTTTTCACCATTACTCTCTTCTTTTAATTTTGTACTTTAATCAAAAACTCTCTCTTCTTCTCTTCACAAAAAACCTCTCTTCGCCGGATCTTTTAATCTTTTCCCAATGACTTCTGATTCCGATAGACCCGAGTCTCCGTCTTTCGATGAGAGGCGTTCTAGCAACGACGAGTGCACCCGCTCTGATGATATTGCCGGTCCGCACTATAGATCCACTTGTACTCTTCAATCCCTTGAGCGGTTGAGAGAGCTTTGCCGGATTCCGCCGGAAATTATGGCGGAAGCACAAATAGCTTCCCCCACAGAATCCCCAGAGAACCATCGCGATGGTTACTTCTGTGTGTACGAGATTTATTTCAAGGGTTGCGGATTAACCTTCCCGCTTCCCGAAGCCCTAGTTCTATACCTAGCGGCTCTTGAAATCGCTCTTCCTCAATTAACCCCCAACCTTCTCCGTACCATTCTTGGAATTATTACAATCGCGGCGGAGGCCGGTTATGTCGTCGGAGTTACTGAACTAAATGAGCTTCTAAGCGTGAGAAGCTCATCGAAGAAAACGGGGTATTTCTCAGCATATCCTAACGCCAACAGGAACATCATTTCGCATCTTCCAAACAAGGATGAAAATTGGCATCATCCTTGGTTTCTGATTAAGAAAACTCCCGCTTCGATTGGAAATCTTGCAGATTTCCTCCCTTCGAAGTGGTCGGCGAAACCTGGTAGAGATTAGGTCGCCCGTATCTTTCCCGGTTGTTTCTTTATCTTTATTAACTAACACCGTTGTTTCATTTCGCAGTTTTCGTCGCTTCCGCTCTCCCATCTGAAGAGTTCATTGAATTCTTCAAAATAATTCTTGAAGGGGAAACCCTTTGGAATTCTTTCACTCTTGAGCGATTCCTAGAAGCTAACCACAGACTCAGGATGAGTCCGCCTGGTCATCTTCATCAAATCCCTCCCCCTCCCTCAACTCAGGGAATGTCATCTCGGGCCCTTGCGGCCAAACGTAAGTTGCTTTCCAAGCCGATGGCTGAGGCTTGCGAGGAGAAGAAAAAGTTTCTCGCGACTTCTATAGACAAGAAGGACTACAGTAGGACCTTGCTGGTTGATGATGGCAGCACCGAGGGATCCCGATCTGTTGCTTCCTTCAGACTAACTCCTCGTCGCGATCGCCGCGACTCACGTTCTCCTCGGAGGGATCAATCTCCTCGCCGTGATCCACCTCGTCCTCCCCGAGATGATTTTAGTAACGAACCAATTAAGAACTTGGTTCGCCGGAAGAGAGACAAGTCCTCTCGCAGTGATTCTTCCCCGCAGAGGGAAAAGTCGAGGGCCCGGACTGACCGCTCACCTCGGTCATCCCCTCCTTCTGAACCAATGGGTCCTCCACGACCGGTTGATATGTCTTCCTCTTCCCAGCCTGATAGTGGAAAGACTGCTCGGAGCGCGTCTCCGAAAAAGGGAGATTCTGAATCTCGAGATGCTTCCTCGAGATTAAAACATGCTCTTGTCCCTCAAGTCAAATCGCTTTCAGGTTTGGTGATTCATACAGTCTTCAACGTCTTTTTTTTATTTCCATTAAGATTCCCATTTTTACAACTCTTCTTTCTTCGCAGCTATGGAGAAAGAGGGCAGCGTCTTCCGATGCTTCAAGACCCGATCGGGTTCGATCTTGCCAGACTTCGACAAATGGCGCCCTGCGATTCGTGAACGCTATTTGCTTCACGCGCATCACTCATCTCGGGTTAGTTCCGTTTTCTTTTATATATTTTTTATTGTATTGCCATTCTGCGAACTGACTCGCCATCCCGGGTTCATGTATAATGCCAGGCTCATAGCGAATTTAACGACATGATCGAACATTACGAAGGGTTGTTCATTGGACGGGAGAAGGAGATTGACATGTGGAAAACGAAACTCTCTGCCCTTGAGGCTGAACTCAGTTCTTCTGCCGGCTCCAAGCACGATCTGGAGGACAAAGTCGACAATTTAACATCCGAGCTTGCGCAGATAAAGGGGGAGCTGCAGGGTCAGTACGACCAGAACTTCAAGCTCCAGGAAGAGTTTTCTGGTGTTCAGGGTAGGCTTCAAGAGTCCGAATCAAACGCTGATTCCCTGAACAACCAACTCATCGAGCTTAACGCGAAATACAAGGCGATTGCCAAATTGCGTGACTCCGAGTTGGCAAGGTCGGCATCGAAGGCCAGAAAGGAGGTTAAGGGACGCGGGATGGAGCTGATCCAAGGGGCCATTCGCTTCATGCAAACCGAGAAGGCTAGGTCGGACTTGGAGTCAGACATCAAGGAGCATGAAAGCAACCTGATTCTGCTGGATCAAATCCATGAAGCAGATTTCTCCGAGGAGCAAGAAAGGACCGAGCTGTCGACTAACCTTTCTGAAAAACGGAGTCGCTTGGCAGCTCTTCCTACTTCGGCCTTCAACCCGCTTGACTTTGAGGCATTCTTTACTGAATCACCTCCTATAAGTGAATCGGGTTTAGACTGGGCAGGTAACGCTTGGCTCCTGTGGCTTACCTTTTTCTTACCTTGTACCTTTGATTGACTGGAATTATTATTTCTAGGTTCAAGTGAGACGGAAGACGTTGTCCCGCCCGCAGCTCCTATGGTACCAGAGGTCACTCCGGAGGTTGGTTGTACCGCGGAGGGTGGTCAGGGAGCTTCATCTGATCAAGCACCAGTCAAGGAGGTGAATGAAACTCTGGTTGCTGAGCCGGAGTCCGGGGTGGAGATCACTCCGTAGTGGCTGTGTCCACTTTAAATTGGGGATTGTCCCTTTAACTTTAAAACTTAATTTATTTTTTGCCTAAGGAGGCTTTATTTTCTTTTGAACAAGATATTTGCCTGAGGAGGCTTTTAAACCTTTCTAGGTTGTGACCCAAGGGGGTTTGGTTAAAATTATATGCGGGTTTGCAAGGTCCGCTTTTAACCTTTTGTGGCCTTGTGGCAATGCTTTTGAGATTTTTAGGCTGATCAGACCTTTCTCTTTAGAATGCGAGAACTGAGCTCGGCTTAGAGCGAGTTCCCCACTTCGGGTTTAGTCAACTCGATAAACTTGTTGGGCTTGGGCCTTAGAAACTTTTGTAGTCAATGCGACGGTTGCGCTTTCCCTTCTTATAAATAAGGAAAACGGCTCGTCTTTAATGCAAAAAGTGCTTTTTCTCGATTTCCAAAAATGGTTTAAATCACTCGGACACACTACCATTATTGGGCTTATGGTTCCAAGACAAACCCTAAATCATTATAAATAAAGGCTTACCTACTCTTAAGCTTTATTTAAGCATGACTTTAGAATCTC